CTTAAGTTCAAATCTTAAGTGAAGCATTTTTAAGTTGCTTGGGAGACTAGCTTGGACCGTATGAGAGACTAGCTTGGACCGTATGAGAGACTAGCTTGGATAGTATGGGAGACTAGCTCAAAGTCAAGTATATTGGACTAGCTAAATGGAGACTAGCTAAGAATATGGAGACTAAGTAAAATGCACAAGTCTCACAAAAGCCATGCAGCATATGGAAAAACACACCAAGTATGGTGAACCAAGCTAGAAATTCGAAACAGAGCATCTCACCATGAACAACTGTGAAGTTTTTACAGAGTTTAGAAAATATCTGATATATTTTCATCTGAACATCAAGTTTTTACAGTGGAACCAGAGACGCTCGAAGAAGGCTGATTCGCGGAGAAATTATTTTATACTCAAGCAAGAATCAGCAGATAAATTATTTGATCAACTAGACATGTTAGAGCATTTATGAAGGACAAGAAATATCAAGCTTGCCGCGCCGAACTTATTCAAATTTTGGAGGCTACAAAATTCAAGACACGGCAACGGGCAAATTATTCAAATCATCTGACAAAAGGAGAAATGACATCTACCTAATATTTCAGATCAAGTTGACAATATCTTTTGATCAACTACAATTCAAAATGGACGATCAAGATCGAAAGTTGATCAATGGGCAAATAGCTTTCACTAGCTATAAATTGTCCAAGCAGACTTAAAGACAAGAAGAGACAATAACCCCAAGTGATTGAGCAGTTCAATTTGAACAACGGCTATGACATACAAGCAAAAGATACAGTTTTTTTTAATTAGCCGAAAAGGGGGAAACAGAGCTTCATAGAATTAAATTCGAGTCTGAGTGAGAGAGAAATTTTATTTCTTTGTAATATTCTCTACTGAGTGTAGAAAGAGGGCGGAGTAACTAGAGAGAGTGAAAAACCCTGGTTGAGTGTAGCTTTGTGCGTAGCACTCGTGGTGAAGGGCAGAGTAACAAGAGGAGCTTGTGAAAACCCTGTGAGGACGTAGCTTTGTGCGTAGTTCTCGTGGTGTAGGAGTACAGCTTGGTGCGAAGTACTCGGGAAGGCGGAGTAACAAGAGGAGCTTGCGAAAAACCTTGGAGGAGTGTAGCTTTGTGCAAAACACTCGGAGAAGTGTCGGTGGACGCTTATTCACTATTGTATCTGGGTGATCGAAGAATAGTGAATTTCCTCCTTGAAGTGAAAGGAGAAGAGTGGACTAGGAGGATTACACCACCTCTAAACCACTATAAATCTCTCTCTCTATTTACTTACTGCTCATATATTTTGTGCATGCTTATTCTAACTGTGAACTAACCCGATTACGATTTATCGCATATCTTTATCTGTCTGGGTTTGATAGTTCCCACGTTTGCATGCAAGCCAAACTTTACGTACATCATCCTTGAACCATATCAAGTGTTTCTAACGTGTTGCATGTTTAGAATCTCTTTTTGAGCACTGCACTATTAAGCATAACACTTTACCGCTACTTATTCCGCTGCACACTCTAAGTTGTTTATCTTGTTAACGCTTGTTACTTAGAGTTGAAATTACCAAAGTGTTATTTGCCTTGTGTGTTTTCGAAGAAAGTTTGAAAAGTTAGAGAAGTCTATTCACCCCCCCTCTAGACTTCTCGCCACCCTTTCGGGACCAACAAGATGTACTCTTTCGATCATCAATATTTCCTGCCCAATCAATATTACAGTATGCAACAAGACTCAGTTCACTGTTCTTGGAGTACCAGAGGCCATACTGTACCATAATAATTTCATTAATTATATTAATTATAATATTTGTAATAATCTCTTCCAAAATTTAAATACATTACCATAATATTCACACAAAATAATGAAAGAAAAATTATCAGAATAATTACATTTAATAAAAACAAGGAAATTATATTAAAAATTAATTATATATTAAGGTAAGTATAATTTATTTCATGCCAATAAATCAAGTGCTTTACTTGATACATTCAAAGAGAGAAAACACTCAGAGCTATCAAGAGAAATTTTTCAAGAGTGTTAATCTTCATCAAAGAGACTAAGCGCATCATTGAAGATCAACTACAGAGTCTCGAAGTTGGAAGCAAGACAAAAACTTGTTTTGGAGCAAAACAAGAGAAGGGAGGAAAGTAGCACGGAGCTGTGAAATCCTGGATTGTCACACGGAGCTGTGAGATCCGAAGCAGCAGTGTCGGAGGCACTGGGCGTGATTAGTGCGCGCTTTGTGATCAAAGCACTAGATCACGGGATACGTTTCTACCGGAGTGTGGAAGACGGGGGAAAGTAACGCGGAGTCGTGAAATCCAGAGATAGTAGCGCGGCGACGTGAAACCCGAAGCAGCAGTGTGGTGTCACTGGGCGTGATTAGTGCGGGCTTGGTGATCAAAACACTAGATCAGATCACGGAATTCATTGTATCTTGGAACCAAAAAGTGGTAGATATAGTGAATTGCTCTTGGAGATAAGAGAAAGTGGAGTAGGAGGATTACACCACCTCCGAACTACTATAATTGTCTTGTGTTCTTTACTGCTTTCTTTACTTACTGCTCTTGCTTGCTTCTCACGAGATAAACTGCTCACAATCACGTATCAACCTCAACTGTGGAAGATCACAGGATGATTAGAAGTCTATTGCTTCCCGATCAATCTTTCTAGATCCGTATCTTCTCCACGAAAATAGACCAAAAAAAAAAAAGAATATATCAACATTTTTTCTTACGAACCACTTTTGTTGTTTAAAAATCAGAAAATACAAAAAAAAAAAAAAAAAAAAAACAAAACAAAACAAAACCCAAAACGAAGAAAAAATAAAAGAAACTAAGATAATGAAAACCTGACCAGTGCAAATCACGTATCAACCTCAACTGTGGAAGATCACAGGATGATTAGCAAAAATCAATGAAATAATTAACCTTAGTTGGGGTTGTGTATGATCATATAAGGTGTATTTATACACAATGGATGAGATCAAAAGGGTTTAGTATTGAAATTATAAAATGGTAAGAGATCTCAAGAAAGGTAAAATTTTAATATTATTAAAATGCCATATTTGTCTAAATATTTGATATTACAAAAATGCCTCTAAATTTTGGGGGGAAAACTTGGCTAGAAGGATTTTACTTTTATATATATATTATATTATATTATATATATATATATATATATATATATATATATATATATATATATATATTATATATATAGATATATAGATATAGATATAGATATATAGATTTATGTAATTTAGTGGGTATCCATCCAATTGATGAGTCATCTAATTAAACAATCAATTAATTATGCCATGCTTAGAGAAATGAACTCGGCCTTATTATCTGTTGCATGTTTTAATTATTGTTTAATTTGAACAATAGCACCAACCTAATACTTCTTCTTCTCCCATACACCAACCAAATACTCCGATAGATCCATCAGTAGTTGAGAAAAAGCATTAAAAATTCAGCAATGGAGTGTGTTGTTGTAACTTTTTTGGCCAAAGTAGTCTACTAGGAGTAGTAGATCACCAACCAAATACTCCGATAGCTGCAGCTTGTGAAGATCTTCATCGGAGCTTGCAAAAAGTAGTGAAAGATTTTGAGTCTGTTGAGGTACCGCCTCTATTGATGATGCTTCTTCTTCTTCTTCTTCTTGTTTACAGCTACAGAACGTCAGGGATGGTGTCTCCTCCTCCAACTATGATTTAGAGCATGATTTTGAGAATACATTGATAGGAATCGAAGGTGATGTTGAGAAAATAAAAGGAATGCTCATTCAAACTTCTTCGTCCACTCAACTACAAGTCGTTTCAATTGTGGGATTGTGGGGGACAGGTAAGACTACTTTGGCCAAAAAAGTTTACGGAGATCCATCTATTGCGTCTCACTTTGACATTCGAGCATGGACGGTTCAAGGTAAAGTACAGAATAAGAGAAATGTAGTGATTGATATTCTAAGTTGTATTGTGTCATTGAGCAATGAAGAAATCTCCAAACAAGATAAAGATGATGAGCAGCTAGCAGAGCAACTCCGCAAACTTCTGATGGGCCAAAGGTATTTCATTGTCTTTGATGAGCTTTGGATGTCAGAGGAGGCATGGAATGAATTCATGAGTACATGTTTTCCAGATAATAGAAATGGAAGCCGAGTTCTGATAACTACTCTAACTATGAGAGTGGCTACATTTGCTAGTAGCTCAGATATGTGCATTTTCGAAACACATGGTCTGAATCCAGAGGAAAGCTGGAAATTATTAAGCAAAACTGCAAAGTCGAATGGAAAATGTAGTAGTCTACCCCCTGAATTAGAGAAAATAGGGAGATGCGGCATTGTTGAGAAATGTAGGGGAATACCACTAGTAATTGTTTTGATTGGTGGACTTCTGGCCACACTCAACAACTCACCAAGGCAGTAGGAGGATATTCTGTTCACCATTTCATCATGCACGCATGATTATCAGATAATGCATTACACATTTGATGTTTGCTACAAGTATTTGCCTATTCACCTAAAACCTTGTTGTCTTTATTTCGGAGTTTTTCCTAAGAATACCAAAATTCATGTGAAAAAGTTGATAAAGTTATGGGTAGCTGAAGGATTTGTAAACCAGGAGATGAACAAGAGTTTAGAAGAGATAGCTGAAGATTATTTGTGTGATCTTATCAATAGAAGGCTAGTTCAAATTCACAAGAGGAGTTTGGATAGAAAAATCAAATCATGTATGTTTCCTGGTGCATTATATCATTTTTGCTTGAGTAAAGCAATTGAGAATCATATTCTTACCGTTGGTAGGCTTGAAGATAAGAGTTTATTGAAGGGTTTCGTTGGGTAAGTCCTCAATATGTTTTCCCTCCAAGTTATTTTACCAAGTCTTCATATAAAACCTGTTCCCTTTTCTACATTGATAAAAATTTATATCTTGCAAAGTATTGGTCGATATCCTCATCATCTTTGAAGTTCTTAAGATTATTGGACTTATCATTAATAGAATATTGGCATGGCATGCCTAGTGAGATTGTGAAGTTGGTTCATTTAAGATATTTAGCTTTAACAACTATAGGTTCTGTTTGTAATTAAGTCTCAATTGTTTAAGCTCCAAAGTTTACAAACTCTCATTCTCTCCGCGTGGACAAAAGAGTATCAATTGCAACTGCCGTGTAATGTTTTGGATTTGCCATGGTTAAGGCATGTGCACTTTGACAAGGGATCTTCATCTTATCTCCCAAACTTGGTTCAAGAAAACTTACAAAGTCTTTCATGGTTCAAAGTTACCGGCCGGGACTCAAGAACAACAAACTTTACAAAAGTTTCAAACCTAAAGGAGTTGGGGATCTACATTGAAGGCGAAGTATTGCCTAATGCTCTTGACAACCTTGCTCAGTTACATCAACTTGAGAAGTTAAAGGTTAAAACGGGAAGGGTAGAGCGGTTTAATCTCCAAAAAAGTTTCCCGTCAAACCTCAAGCAGTTGAGCCTTAGTAACACGTATCTTTCATGGGAAGATATGGACATTATTGGCAATTTACCCAGCCTTGATTTACTCAAATTGAAAGATTTTGCTTTTTGTGGCCCGGAGTGGACACCAAGGGATGAGGGGTTTCTACAACTAAGGTTCTTGCTTATTGAGCGTTCTGATCTCGAACATTGGAATGCAAATGCAAACCATTTCCCAGCTTTGGAGCATCTAATTCTAAAATATTGTTGGGACTTGGAAGAACTTCCAAATGATTTTGAGGAGGTTTGTACATTGCGATTAATTGAGTTAGACAACTGTTGTTCTTCTCTTGTGACTTCTACAGTGGAGATCCAAAAATGGCAACGAGAGTCCGGAAATGAAGCACTTGTGGTTCGTGATGTAACTAAGGTCTCTCTCTAATTCCCATTTATGAATTATAAATTTTGATAAATAGCTTATGAGCCTTTGGGTTCTGTTAGTCTTTTATTTTGTTTTTTGTTTCTTTGTTAAATCCCTCATTCCTCTCCTATTTTCTTAATTGTTCTGGTTTTTAATTTTATTGTTTTTCCTAGATTGAGCTACTAACCAATGAAAGCTTAGGTAAAAAGGTTTGAGTTTGCAATTTGGTGATTTAGGCAAGATTTGTATATCAATGGAACATCAAAACCTACCATCTTATTTAAACATTTTGTATTTTGGGGTTTTGCAAATAATTAGCTTTTCACTTTGCGTTTCTTGAAGGGAATCATAAACAAGTTACAATGATGCATTGGCTTACCAGAAATGCATCCTGGCTGGCTGAAGTTGTGGTCTGCTCATTTGCTTGTCTGTTATCACAAGGATGTTGGAGTTCATCTTCCATATTATTGGTTGGTTATTGTGTTTGATATGTTCGAATAATGTTTCATAAGTGATAGTCTCTGTATTACTAGATTGTGAAATTCATTGAAGTGTTAGTGTAAATATGATTTGGTATTTGGTTGAGATGTTAATTCTGAACTTTATCCAAACTATGGTTTTTATGTTTGTTATCACAATGATGTTTCATTGGGTTCTTTGAGTTGCTGTTGGAGTTCAATGTTGGTTGGTTGGTTGAAATGTTAATCTGTTATTGTATCAAAACAATAGTTCATAAATGTGATCTAGTTCTGAACCACTTGTTAGATAGGATCAAATGCTTATCACTTATAGGCCAAAAGTTATAGCTAGAAGGAATACACAACTTTATTTCCTTATACTCGCGACACATTTTCGCGACGCTGGGTGCTAGACTTGGCCCTTTAAATCCTTTATCAACCTTTGGCCAACAATTCCCTAGTCACCGGGTGCTAGACTTGATCTTTATGTTTGTTGATTGATCTAAGATGTTTGTGGTGTGCTGTGGAAATTATGAACTTCCATTTGCTGGTTGTCCAATCTCTAATGGTTAACAATAAATGCTAGAATAATGTTAATTATTATTATTATTCTATGATTCTTTATAATTTATTGTGGCTCATAATTAAATATCTTTTTATAATTTAATAATGAGATAATCTTGTGATTGGCCAGTTAATAATGGCAGTTTCAACTGCTCATAAGATAATATCCTCTTAGGTTGATGGAACCGAGAGATGATTGTTAACTATATTCTGATTCTCTGGTCCTCTCCCAACCTTCAAAGAAACTAAACTCTCTCCATCTGAGTTCTTAGACAAAAGGAATGCTGAAGGCCTGGAGGGAGAAAGCAAGTTTCTAGTATAAGCAGAGAACTATGGACCCAGGTATGTTCATTGAACTCTAATTAAATACCGTATGTGAAAAACATGTGTTCTGAAGATCTTATGTTTATAGAATTAACTTATGTTTTTTCCATATATGTACTCATTGCATATATGTATGTACTGTTTAGTTTATCTGCATATGGCTTTTGTATGATAATATATATATATATATATATATATATATATATATATATATATATACTAGTATGGTACCCGTGCGATGCATAGTCTAAACATTATATTTTAATCTAAAATATTATTGTAATAAACAAACCAATTGAATATATGATAATATATGATAATAAATTACACATATGACATCACAACAGGTTATTATCTATCTATCTATCATCTATCATCTATCATTATCTATCATTATATCTATCATCTATCATCTATCATTATAATAAAGCACTAAGTTTCTGCCTAAAAATTTCTCCCGCCCACACAAAACGGCAGCGTTTAAAGCCATTGAACAATTGCAGTCGTATTAAATGCTATTCACACTGGGTTGCAGATCCTGAGGAGGCTTAGCCGAAATAACTCCGGGAATATTATATTGGGGAACGCGTGAAGTATTGCTTTGCTTTTCCAATGGATTTTCAATTTTCAATTTTTAATCCGACTTATGGACTTCACATTAAAATCTCCGGGAAGTGCACCGTTCTGTTATAGATACATGGCCAGCGTAAACCAATGGCTATATAAGACTTCTATTCGAATGCAAACATTACAACGAAAGCTAATAAGAATGCTACTTCCATTATACATCTTTGAACTTTCATGGCTTCTATATACATGTTTGGCCGTGATGTATCACCTTTCAAAACAAGCACAATCAAAGTTATGGTGGTGCATAGCACAATCATATAAAATCCTAGAAAGAAAAGGCTCTTCTACAATCAAGTGCAATGAGTTCTTCTCCCATAATCAAGAGGTATTTGCATCTACCAGATTGTTGATTAAAAATCTTTTTTTATGCATATCACTGTCCAGATTGTATTTTTTCTTAACATGGCAGTAAAAAGAAGATGGTTGTACAATGCATGATCCTATTGGCTGCAATTTAGTGGTAAAAAAAATGAAGTACCAAGAGAACATGCATCCTATCTGAAATTTTCAGTAAGATCTATATCTTTAAATAGGACTTTTTCATTAATCATATTCCTATTTCTATACTTTAAATAATCAGTCCTATACCCATATGTTGAGAAACACTCCTCTGTTTCTTTATCTTGATTTATGTTTCTATCCTTTAAAATACAATGTAATGTCATGTAGGGTGCTGTGAAGTAATCATATTTTAGACAATTTGATAATAAGCTCTAATAATCAATGCAGGGCAATATTAAATGTGTGGAAAACTGTTACTATTCCAAGATGATATGCTTTGGGAAACAACAGAATAGTCAAGGGATGGAAAAACTAACATGCTTAGCAGTGATGGGAAGGAAGAGGAAACATCCTGGGGATGAGTGGATAACAAAGGTACCATCTTTTCATATCTTCTCAGTGTTTGTTCTTAAAGAAAGTGATATACCTAGGTATGAAGAAATGTACAACATCAAGTTTTAGATGTATTACAAGGAAAACAGAACAGATATTCATGTAAAGGAGTACACAAAATTTAAGAACTCAGTTAAGTAAAATCTGTTAATGTTTATCTACAATAAAACTGATTAAGCACACTTTAAATATTCTGATATTGAATCACATATCTGGAAAAATAGTCCTTTAAATAATTTTAGTCTATTATAATAAATCAACAACTTTTGGAATTAAAATTGATAAACATTATATGTATTCACTTGACAGATAAATCATGTTGACCAATATGTAGACACTTGACATAGTGTATACGTATCATTGTTACAGCTATTTTCCATTTTCCAATGCAAATAAATAATAAAGATATACAGTTATTGGTAGTATGCATCCTTAGCGGTGTTTGTTATCTATCTGAAGCCAATTTTCATAACCCACTAATGGCTTAATTTTTCTACCATATATTGCTAATGGAGTTTCTTAAATAAAATTAGCAAATAAAGGGGATTCAACTTTGCAGAATGTATGATCAATTAATATTACATTCATGCTTAGTTTGTTGATCCATAATTTACGTAAGTGTTTGTATTATACTTTGGTTTTCTATCACTTAAAATAGATGCAGGATTTAGTGTGTAAGAAGTTAGGGAACAACAAAACATGTACACATGAAGAATCAAGTGGAGAACCAGACATTGATGAAGAATGAATTTAAATTATTGTCTGACTTATGATGAAGTTTTAGTATTTTGTAGAAAGTAACTTTGTATTGGTTTTTTACTATACTTTATTGTGAACATAACCTATGTAAAGTTCCTCTATTTGCCTAATCTATATTATATCAATACATTCATGTAGTTTAAAGAAAAAAAATCAGTCATAAATTTCCAAATAGATAACAGATTGCAGCAGTATACTTGGCAAAAAAAATTCTAATAAATAAAAATGTAAATTGTAAAAAATGTTATGTAATCCATAAGTCATTAACACTTTGCCGAGGGAATGTGTAATAATATACTTGGTAATGGTAATGGGTTTGGTGAAAGTATTAGTTTTTCAATTTGAAAATAGAGTCTCCAATGTCACTCAAACTGATCACTTCACTCCAAAGTATAACCTTAGACAAGTATAAAAAGTATCAATCATGAAATTAAAAGTATAACCTTAGGCAAGTTTAAACTGAACACTTCACTCCAAAATTTCTCATAAGAAAAATTAGACTTAAACACTGTATGTTTTAACTTCGCAAAGTCCAGTTTTAATGACAAACACCTATTGGAAAGAGTTACTACTAAAATCACTCAGTATGTCATTTGTACTAAACATATTATATTCAAGTGGAACTTAATTAATTAAAAAGATTTTTAGATTCATCTCTGATCGCTCAATATGTTTTGGGAAAAAGATTCAACAATATTGCTACATGAAAGCAACTGATAACTGAAAATCAACAATTATTAAAGGAACTGATAACCGAAAAAATTACTCTTTCATGTAGCACATTAAAAACAAAAAAATATGTGATATTGGCACTATAAAAAAAAAATAAGTATAGTCTCAGAAATGTTTTGGGGCATCAACATTTTTATCATATGCCAATAACCTTGAAAGTAGCATGATTACAATACTTAACGGGGACAAAAGTAGCATACATTGTGAATATCATTGTAAAATGAATAGTCATCCACATTGCCAAACTGCTAAAAAGCCAATAACTTATATATTCACAAAGCTATTTTCACAGCATTCCACAAAGTTTGAAAAAGCATGCAAACAGTCTAAGGTTTGACACTTTGCAACACAAAGGGTAAAATTTCAAAGGTTGCAAGGACTATCCATTTTGACAGCTGCTTCAAAAAAGCCATAAATTTCTTAGAATATGGAAATCTGACTATCAGAGTATGTATTAGATTTATTTGTATAGCATTTAGTTAAAGTTCCTATAATTTAGCCTAATGGAACACTAGCAGCACGACAAGGACGACAAGAAAGTCTTTTCACTTCAATTGAATGAGAATCTGGGACTGACTGCATACAAAAAACTATGGGGGCTCAGTGGCTCACCTTGCATGCTGACATGCTGCACCAGTTGAGGGCTGAAGAAGGGTTTTGTTGCTTCCAATTATGCCCCTATCATTGCGGTGCTGATAGAAAAACCGGAGGGATGATGAGTGATGATTGTTCTTGATAATGTTGCAAAGATCTGAGATATCTTTGGATGTGAAGTGAAGAATCGAAATGAAGATCGATTAAGAAATCAGAGTGCATTTCCATTAGGACCATTAGATGAATCTAAATTTTCCGCGTGTGATTTGTTCTTCCTGCAAACATCGGCCACAAACAAGCTCCCTGAATCGCACCATCCCCCACAAGGTCCCTGTCATACTGAAAAGGAAGGAGTAAAAAATGGTAGAAATATGATGTGTAAAATAGTCGTTTTGTCCTGATATGCCGTGATGTAAAAAACAGATAAGAGTCACTCCACTTCACCATTCTGAACTCGAAGGTTTTGTCCTGATATGCCGTGATAGAAATCTTGCATCATATAATGTAATCTTACACTTAATCGTAGATAGCGAATGAAATTAAACACTAATTATGCAGGTATTCGACGTATACAATTAGGATCGAATACTTAGCTTAGTCGACATCATTCGTCTGATTTCGGCGACTCTTAACAATAATATCATCGTCCTAACATTAGGACGAAGATACCTTAGCTTAGTTGTATAGGCTCCAGATCTGATGTGACAGTACCATACGAAGAACACATAAACCCTAAATCACTAATTTACACCTATAATTTACAAAACAACAACTTAAACATGTTTAGATTTGGTGTACACTGGACTTTGATGGAAGATACTAGATGATAAAAATGGAAAGTAGACTAAAAACATAAGAAAGTAGAGATTTCGAATCGGACATCGCCAGAGAAAGGGGGCGGATGTAGAGAGAAGATGAATCAACGGTGAGCTGATATTTTGCACTTCTACGCGTTTTTTTTATTTGTTTTGCTGAGTTGGGTCGGGTTTGGACTTTATTTTTAGACCATAGTTTGGGCTAAACATATATAGGAATTAAAATATATAAGTTTTATATATATTGCCATATTGGGGTTATTGGCAGCCCAGTATGTTAATATTATATATATATATATAATATGATATTATTAGATTATATAATTATTGAATTATTATATATCATTGTATAACATGCTTCATATATAAAACATATACTAATTAATAATATTATTAAAGATGTACTGTGAAACTGTGCAAATCATTGTGTGCATCAAGGTCCACACTGATGTGTGGACCTACCATCTTATAATACATTTGTAATACATGATGATGTATATTATTTGTTTACTAAAAGCAAATCTTTTAATAGTTAGATATAAATAATGTACATATTTCTAATACTACACCAACGATTTTATTTAATTTAATTAGATTTCATATCAATTTTGCATTTATGTTTAATGCGTTGTTCTGGAGTTCGAAATCATGCTTTGATTATAAAAGTTGAGTAACATGTGATGCTATTGAGAAATATAGATCACTCTTTAGGTCTATATAATGGTACTCGGCTAATTGTTAAACTACCAATCGGTTGATGCAAGAGGAATTAGCATATGATATTTAATGTCATGAGGGAAGAGAATGATACTTTGGTGCAACAGCTCACTGAAGAGCAAAGGGCTATATATGACAATGTATTGCAAGATGCTGAGAACAATGTTGGAGGACTTTTTGTTTTTTTGTATATGGATATAGTGGAACGGGAAAAACATTCTTGTGGAGAGCATTGTCTTCTGCTTTAAGGTCAAAGGGTGAGATAGTTTTAAACGTTGCATCAAGTGACATAGCTTCTCTTCTATTATCAGGAGGAAGAACTGCGCATTCAAGATTTGCAATCCCAATAGCTGTTAATGAATATTCAACTTGCAATATCAGCCAAAGTAGTCCTTTGGCACAATTGATCATGCAAAGTAGGTTGATCATTTGGGATGAGGAACCGATGATGCATAAATTTTGCTTTGAAGCTTTGGACCGTACTATGAGAGATATCATGCGTGTCAAAAATCCAAAAAGCTTGGATATTACTTTTGGTGGAAAAATCATGGTGTTAGGTGGAGATTTCAGACAGATTCTACCAGTCATTCCAAAGAGCACGAGGCAAGATATTGTGGGAGTATAAATGCATCATATCTTTGGAGAAGCTGTAAAGTATTTAGGCTAACAAAGAATCTCAGGCTTAGGTCATTGCAATAAGATGCTGAAGTTCAAGAGATTGAAGAATTTGCAAAGTGGATTGCTAATATAGGTGATGGAACAATTGGTGATTCTTTGCATGGAGAATGTGAGATAAATATTCCTGAAGAATTTGTACTAACGTGTGGTGAGGATCCTATTTCTACAATTGTTGATAGCACATTCCCTATGTTCCGCAATGACCACAAAGATATTCAATATATAAAAGATCGTGCTATTTTGGCCCCAACTTTGGATATTGTGGATGCAGTAAATGAATACATGAATGACTATAATAATGCCGAAGGAAGGACGTATCTCAGTTGTGATTCGGTTTGTAAATCTGATTCAAATGTTGACATGCTTTCTGATCTGCACACTCCGGAATTTTTAAATGGATTACGATGTTCTGAGGTTCCAAATCACTCATTGACTCTTAAAGTTGGCTCACCAGTTATGCTTTTGAGGAATATTGATCACTCATTGGGGTTGTGCAATTGGTACAAGAATGATCATTTCAAAGTTGGCTGATCATGTTTTAGAAGCTCAAATACTGTGCGGGTAAGTGCTGGTACAAAGGTCTTAATTCCAATGATGATCTTAACACCTTCTGATCCAAGATTGCCTTTTAAGTTCCAAAGAAAGCAATTTCCACTTATGTTTTCATATGCCAGAATCCACCAAGCAAGGAATTAATGATGTATAACCACTCTGCGAGGGAGAGGCCAAAATCTACCAAGGTTGGCAGACCGCTCTAGCCGAGATATCCCTGTGCAGTCTCAAGCCAAAAATCCCATTAAAATGTCGCCAAACCTCTTGTGCGCAGCAGCACTGATGGAGGCAATGGGAGGGTTACACTTGCATTCCGACACAGTGGGCAGATCGAGGGCAGATAGAACCCAAAGGGCTGCAAAACATTTGGAAACGACAGCCATCTCTTTAACAGCCTCCACATGAACATGGATACCTTTATTGGGATTAAAATGTTCCACACACTTGTTGATGAAAGGTTGTGTCCTGCCTTCAGCCTTAGGGATTCATAGGCAGAAGAAAAGGTGAAATTACCATACACTGATGGAGTCCACACTAAATCTCTTGATGTGGTGGACACATTGTCTTCAACGAAATCTCTGGCAAGCCACATTCTCCTCCATGTGAGAGAACCCATCCGGTCTGTTGCAACTTCATGGTATTTAGCATGCATGAATGAGCTCCACAGGGTGTCTCCCTTTAAAAAGTTGAAGTAGAGCTTTGCCGAGCCAGAATCTTGAATCGATGAAAGACAACGAACCCCCAAACCGCCCTCATTTGTGGGTAGGCAAACACCCTTCTATTTCACCCAGTGTCGTTTGGGCTTCCCCTCGAAACTGCCCCAAAAGAAATTGGCTAACTTTGCCTCCAGAGATCTCACAACATGCTTAGGCAGTGTCACAGACGCCATTGTATACATTGGAATCATTGTTAGAACACGTTTAATGAGCGTTAATCTGCCTCCTTCGGATAGCAGTTTTCTCTGCCAACCGAGTAATTTATTGTCAATCTTCTCCAGTAGATGCTGATAATAGTGTGTTCTATTTCTGCCCGTGAACATGTTGACCCCCAGATAACGGAATGGTAAAGTGGTGCATTGCATTGCCAGTATTTGGGACATAGCCGCAACCCTACCGCTTCGGCAATGTTTTGAGGTGACGAAGAAACTCTTGCTATAATTAATTTTTTGTTCGGAACCGTCCTGATACAGCTGCAGAACCTCCGACAAAGCTTTTAGGGAACCAGACGAGCCATTGACAAAAATGACTATGTCATCTGCGAATGCCATAGTGATAATTATGTATATGGATATTTTTATGATATTATTTATTACTAGTATATTATATCCACTTTACTTGGTATCTAATTATGATTGATTTGTTAGTCACCAAAGTGGCCAAATTATAAAGTTTTAATAGATATCAAATTTAAATAAAATTCAATTACCCATGATTACATGATGCTTATAATGAGATGACATGATTTTATTTTATTTTCATTGTATTGGTTAAATTGAAAGTTTAATAATTATGAAATATTTAAGAGTCGCCCAAAGGTTGATCAATTACTTCATAATTATAAGCAATAATAGTGGTTAAGTATTTATATTTGATTGAGCTGTTTAGCGTATCCAAAGATAGCAAACAAGTGTAGTCGCAATATACTTAATGACCAATTATATGAATTTTTTTAGCATCGTATTATGTTTAAAGTTATATGTTGTAGGATCACTCAAAGGAAACCTTCAATGTATTTGACTGTTTATGATTATGTTGAGCTTATTAGCAGCAAAATTAAGGTCCATGAAAATGGACGTGAGTGATACTTTCCTTGAACAATTTATTTTAAACCCTTTGCCTCTCAAGTATGAGACATTCCAAGTGAATTACAATTCTATTAAAGATAAGTGGAATGTGTTCGAATTGCATAAAATGCTAACTCAAGAGGTAACAAAGCTTAAAGGACAAGGAATTCACTCAATTAATCTCATGAGTCAGTCAAGGGCTGGTAAGAAGTTTGGAAAGAAGAATCATAAGGGTAAGAAAGGATCAATGAAGACTAATGAGTCCTCTTCTCAAATCCACAAAAGGAATATAAGAATGACAAGTGTCATTTCTGTAAGAAATCTGGACATTTCAGAAAGATTGCCTTAAGCGTAAGGCATGGTTCGAAAAGAAAGGGATTCCTTATGACCCAAACCATAAAGCCAAATGAAAAATTTGTGTTTATGGGGAATTGAGTCAAGGCTCCAGTAGAAGCCATTGGAACTTATCGTTTAATTTTAGATACTGGAAATCCTTTGGATTTGTTTGAAACTCTTTATGTTCCTTCAATTTCTAGGACTTTAATTTCTTTGTCAAAACTGGACTCTTATGGTTTTTACTCTAAATTTGGTAATGGTTGTTTCAGTTTATTCAAGCAAAATCATTTTATTGGTTCTGGTATTCTTTCTGATGGTTTGTACAAACTAAAGCTTGACAATCTTTTGCTGAAATTCTTTTAACCTTGCATCATTGTATTGGAACTAAATGGAGTGTAGTGGATGAAAGATCAGCTTACTTGTAGCATAAACGTTTGGGTCACATATCTAAGGAAAGGATTCAAAGACTTGTAAAGAATGAAATCCTCCCTGAATTAGATTTTACTGATCTTGGTATTTGTGTGGATTGTTTAAAGGAAAATATTCAAACCACACAAATAAGAATGCAGCCACAAAAAGCACACGACTCCTTGAAATTATACACACTGAATATATGGACCTTTTGATGTCCCAACATTCGAAAAAGAAAATATCATCACATTTATTGATGATTTTCACGTTATGGTTATGTCTATTTGTTGTATAAAAAAATCTCAATCTATAAATGCCTTAGAGGTATTTGTGAATGAGGTCGAAAGACAAATGGACAAAAAGGTGAAAATTATAAAAAGATCTGATAGGGGTGGTGAGTATTATGGAAAGTATAATGAAAGTGTACAGTGCACTGGTCCATTTGCTAAATTTCTTGAAAGACGTGGTATTTGTGCTCAATACACAATGCCCGGTACACCACAACAAAATGGTGTTGCAGAAAGGCGTAATCCTACCTTAATGGAAATAGTTAGGAGTATGATGCGTTATTCTTCTTTACCCTTATCATTATGGACATATGCTTTAAAAACGCCGCTTATTTATTAAACAGGGTTCCTAGTAAGGCAGTTTCAAAACACCATTTGAACTGTGGACAGGAAGGAAACCTAGTTTAAGGCACCTTCATGTTTGGGGATGTCCGGTGGAGATACACATTTATAATCCACATGAAAAGAAACTGGATTCAAGAACAGCTAGTGGATTTTGCATTGGTTATCCAGATAAATCTAAAGGGTATAGATTCTATTGTCCTAGCCATACTACTAGAATTTTTGAAACTGGAAATGCTAAGTTCATTGAGAATAATAACATAAGTGGGAGCGTTGAACCACGAAAAGTGGAACTTAAAGAAGTTATGGTGCAAAATTCTCCGATATCTTCTTCTCAATTTGTTGTTCCTGTGCGTCAAATTACTCTACCTGGAGTTACTCAAATTGCTCAGCCTGCAACAGTTGAACAATTTAATCACATGCCTGAACAACAAATTAATGATAAAGAGATTAATGATCAATCACTCCATGTTGAAGTTAACAATGAACCCACAAATGATATTCCTACAGAAGTAGCATTAAGAAGATCTCAAAGACAAAGGAGATCAGCTATATCTGATGATTATATGGTTTATCTTCAAGAATCAGATTTTGATATTGGAATTGATGAAGATCTAGTTTCATTTTCACAGGCTATAAATAGTTATAGTTCTTCTAAATCAGTTGAAGCCATGAAAGTTGAGTTAAAATCAATGGAACATAATGAAGTATGGGATCTTGTTGAGTTGCCTGAAGGTTGTAAGCCCGTTGACTGTAAATGGGTTTTTAAGACCAAACATGACTCAAATGGCAATATTTAACGATACAAGGCAAGACGTGTTGCCAAAGGTTTTACTCAAAAGAATGGTATTGATTTCAATGAAACATTTTCACATGTTTCAAAGAAAGATTCATTTAGAATAATTATGACACTAGTAGCTCATTATGACTTAGAGCTACAGCATAAGGATGTGAAAACTGTCTTTCTGTATGGAAATTTAGAGGAAGAAATTTACATGAAGCATCCTGAGGGTTTTTCAATTGAAGGAAAGGAACACATGGTGTGTAAACTTAACAGATTGATATACGGACTTAGACAAGCTTCCCGACAATGGTATCTTAAGTTTAATGATACTGTAATGACCTTTGTATTTAAGGAAAACACTGTTGATCGGTGTATATATCTAAAGATCAGTGGGAGCAAGTTTATATTTTTGATTCTGTATGTCGATGACATTTTGCTAGCTACTGATGATCTCGGTTTAATGCGCGAGACCAAGCAGTTTCTTTCTAAGAATTTAGAAATGAAAGATATGGGTGATGCATCCTTTGTGATTGGAATTGAAATATTTCGTAATAGATCACAAGGAGTTTAACACCCCCAACTTAAAAACCAGAATAAAAGACTTTTCTTAGAAAAAGATTGAAAACAAATGCGGAAGCAAAATCAAAATCTAAACCATTGGGGTGTCACGCCATGTTTGGGCAACCAACTAAGCCCAAACGCACAGGCTGCAAAGGTTCTATCTGAAAACCATAATACAATTTCCCAATACAACATTTCATAATCCACAAATCCATTTAACTACAATTCTATAATTCAAATTCTAAAACCAAAGGATCTATACCAAATTCTATTACAAGGCATACGAACTCTATGCCGCGCTCTCAAGGCAAGTCACTAATTTCAGATCCTGAAAACGAAAGGTTTAGGAAAAGCACAAACAACAGAATTAGCATAAATGCTAAGTAAGCTCTACTCCACCCTGTAAAATAGATACATTTATACTTCTCAAAAATAGGTTATATTCGACTCCGCATTCTTTGCAAACCCTTCGCACCTGAGCTGCTTGCATGACGGCTCCGCCCGGGGCCGCCTCGCCCCCTCTCCGATCCTTCGCTGATATTCTATCAGCCTCCTCCACTCCCTCCGCACTGCGTCCTCCAGAAAGATTCAAAGGGATGCCGGCAGTATCCTTTTCAGATGATGATGTTAATCTTTTTGCGCACAAGTTCCGTTTCGCGCTAGTCGGGAAGTTTGAGAAGAGTCAGCCTCCAATGGCAGACATCAGGAAAACCTTTGATCTCATCGGATTTGGCGGTGCTTTCACCCTCAGACTCCTTGATCAACGCCACATTCTCATGAACTTTGATCATGAAGCGGACTTTCAGAGATGTTGGCTTCGGAAGACTTGGTCAATTAAAGGAGCCCTGATGAGGGTTTTCAAGTGGACGCCAGATTTTCATCCAGACATGGAATCTCCCATTGTCCCAGTATGGATTGCTTTTGAAGGTCTTCCAGCTCACCTGCAAGATAAGCGGGTCATCTACTCCATTGCGAATCTCATCGGTTCGCCCCTCAAGGTCGACAGCTCCACTCTTCTTCACAATCGGCCTTCCGTTGCTAGGGTGTGCGTAGAGCTTGATGTCAGCACCACCCTCACAAACCAGGTTTGGATCAACAATGGCTCCTTTGGTGGTTTTGCTCAGAAGGTGACGTATGAGTTTATCCCGCCCTATTGCCTGGGATGCCGAAAATTTGGCCACCTTAAATCAGAATGCTCTGCGCAGTCGGAGAAGCAACAGCATGATACTAGGCGGGAGCCCATGGCTGACCGGGTACCCGAGCGCCTAATCATAGTCCCACCTCGGAAGCGTTGGCGCCAGGCAGCAAGCCATGTAACAACTCCCGAAGATGCCCCAAATGAACAACCACCACAGGCGTGTCTGAGTAGTCATCAGCCGGAATCGGAGAATTCAACGGCTCCTTTCATTGTGCCAGATGCCAACGCACCTCTAGGAGCAACGTTAATAGATGACCAGGGAGTTCGACGTGCTCCGTCAGATTCTCAGCCTGGACACCTTTCGGATGGAGATGAGCTTCTGAATGTGGAGGTCTACAGTCCTTCGCTGTTGGATTCATGGAAGGAGGCGAGTAAAATGTTCGCTCTGAAACTTGGAGGAAACAAACAGGACAATTATGTTACGGTAACTAAGAAGAAAAGTCGGCCTAGAAAGGACTATTCCGCCCAAGTTCCAGCGGTGACCACACGCCTGGCGGCATCGAAAATCACTAGAGTCTCTTTTTCTCATAGACTCAAATGAATTTGCTTAGTTGGAATGTCAGGGGTCTACTTTCCTCACGGCGTAGACTCAAAAGACTCCTCCGACGTGAGCGCATTAGTTTTGTCTCCTTAATTGAGCCTATGTTGGCTCAGGACCGCTTGCTTCAGATGATCACCGAGTTGGGGTTCTCCGATGGTTTTGCCTCGGAGACATCAAAAATCTGGTTGCTTTGGTCTGCGGACATTGAGGTGGAGGTGGTGCTTGATTCTGAGCAATTCGTCTGCTGTACTATTAATTACTTGCCTTGGCAATTTGTCTTCTCTTTTCTGGCAGTTTATGGTAAACACACGAGGACAGAGAGAGCGCAGCTTTGGGCCCAGCTTTCAATTGTTTTGGGGGGCTCTTTACCGGTGCTCTTGAGTGGGGATTTCAATGTTATCTCAAGTCTCTCTGAATATAGGGGAAGTTCTGTACCAGACACAAATAGCATTTCAGACTTTTCAAGCTTTATTTGTGACAATAACTTAATTGATTTATCAGTGATCGGGAATCAATACACTGGGCATGGGATACACACTACGGGGCCGGTTTGGAAAAGGCTTGACCGCTTCCTCATGAATGCAGCTTTTCGGGATGTTTTCACAGATGTGAGGATCGTTGTCTTAGCAAGGACCACGTCGGATCACGCCCCAATTTTATTAACAGGGTCTAATGACGCAGTATCATGTCCAAAGTAGTTCAGATTTCAAAGTATGTGGCTTTCTCACCCGGGCTTCATGGACCTGGTTCGCCAAAATTGGAATCTGCCGGCTCAAGGAGGCGGAATGCGAGAGTTGGCTTTTAAGTTAAAGCGCCTCAAGGATTCCTTAAAAGTTTGGAACAAAAATATCTTTGGGAATGTCTTCGACCGGGTAGAAGATTTGGAAATACGGGTTGCCGAAGCCGAATTTAGGCATACTGCCAATTCGACCAGGGACAACCGTCTAGTTCTTCATGCCCTGCAGGCAGATCTCTTGCTAGCTCTCAAGCAAGAAGAGTACTTCTGGAAGCAAAAGGCCCGAGTGAAGTGGCTGCGAGAGGGTGATGCCAATACAAAATATTTTCACTCAGTAGTGAAGGACAGACACCGGAGGCAACGAATCTCTTCTGTGAGAGATGCTTCGGGTCAGTTATTAACCACACAGGCTGATATCAAAGAGGAAGCTGTCAGGTTTTTCACGGACCTATTCTCGTCTGAGGATAATCAGGAGATGGGCAATTTGCTTCAGTGTCTGAATGCGGTCCTGAGCCCTCAAGATGCAGACTCTCTCATGGTGGCTTTTTCGCATGAGGAGGTTAAAGATGCGGTCTGGAAACTAGATCCTGATAGTGCAGCTGGCCCAGACGGTTTCTCGGGGATGTTCTTCCATCATTGTTGGGATATTGTGAAGGATAATGTCTACGGGGCTGTGCAAGACTTCCTACTAGGGGTTTCCTGTTCCCCGGGCAATGGCAAGTGCGCAAATTGTGTTGATCCCAAAAAAGACCCACCCGGACTCTTTTGTAGATTACAGGCCTATATGCTTGTGCGCCTTTATCAGTAAGGTTCTAACAAGATTACTAGCTACCAGATTGTGTCCTATCTTGCCGAATTTGATTTCAAGGGAGCAATCGGGCTTTGTGGCAGGTCGTAGCATCCAGGATAACATTCTTCTTGCCATTGAATTGCTACAGTTTATCGACAAGAAATGTCAGGGCTCCAATGTCATTATCAAGCTGGACATGATGAAGGCCTTTGACAGGGTATCCTGGCCTTTTCTTCGGGAGGTTTTGAGGAAGTTTGGCTTCCCGGATTTGTTTGCCAATCTTATTATGAACAACTTGGCGGCCACTCCACTCTCAGTCCTGGTTAATGGCGAGAGTTGCGGGTTCTTTCAGCCATCAAGAGGCGTCAAACAAGGTGATCCGCTGTCCCCGCTTCTTTTCATCTTGGCCTCTGAGGCCCTCTCGCGGTCTATCATTCTGAAAATGGGTGGTGCTATGTTGACACCGTACTCCACGGCCCCGAGCTGCCCGTTGATCAGCCACTTAACATTCGCCGACGACATTGTTATTTTTGTAAATGGCACGTCATCATCATTGTAAGCTTTGACAGATATCCTGAATGAATACCAAGCTGGCTCTGGGCAGAAAATAAACTACAACAAAAGCTTCTTTGTGGCTTCAAACTGGTGCACTCGTAGCCGAACAAACGAGATGTCAAGGATTCTGGGAATGCAGCAATCTACCTTGCCGTTTCGATATCTGGGAGCCAATCTCTTTAAGGGCAGAAATCGGCCACTCTACTATCACCATTTACTGGAAAGAGTTGATAATAAGTTGCTCAGTTGGCAACGCAAATTGCTATCTCCAGGAGGAAGACTCACTCTTCTCCGGCATGTATTGAACACAATACCGCTATTTACTATGGCTTCAGTCGCATTGCCGCGACAGACTCAATCAGCTCTGGAGTCTAAGTTCGCTAACTTTTTGTGGGGCGCTGAAAATGGCAGGCCAAAGCGTCACTGGACTACTTGGCGCAGGTTATGCTTCCCAACAGAAGAGGGTGGTTTGGGCATCCGTTCGCTTGGAACAATGCAGCAAGCATTTTCTGCAAAGCTTTTATTCGGCTTCCTCCAGGGTGGTTCACTTTGGGCTGATTATATGCATGCCATATACTCAGCTGGTCGACGAAATACTTCAATCACTTGGAAGCGCATGCAGCAAATTCGAGACTTTGTGGAAGACAACACAGAGGTTGTCCCTGATGGTATAATTTGGACGCCCGACCCTTACGGCGAGTTCTCTTTGTCATCAGCTCATGAAGCGCTGCGAAACAAGGCAGCGTCATGCCTTTCATCCAAGTGCATTTGGGGTGGAGGGATCCCATCCAAGGTATCTTTGTTTATGTGGAGGTTGCTTCGCACCTTTCTCCCTTTCCCAGATGTTATCCAGAGGTTTAATGTCTGCTTGCCCCCGGTTTGCCCTCTCTGTCATCAAGCCTCGGCAGAATTAGAGCACTGTCTATATCAGTGCGATTTTTCCAAGCATGTATGGCGTCACTTCCAGGGTATTTTTGGTGCAACAATTGGTGCATCTTCGTTGCGCACGGAATGCCATGCTTGGTGGCTGCTTGCGCCCCTGGGCTTGGCAGTGGACTGGTATGCTAAACTTGTGCCGTGCCTCATTCTTTGGCATCTTTGGTGTTCATACAATCAGGGGGTTTATGGAGATGGCTCTCACTCGGTTTCCCAGACGCTCAGCCGCATCAAACAGGATCTTTTCTTGGTCGCTTCCACTCGGACAATTCGTCGTTCGGGGCCGGGAGACGATTTCCTCCTCACAGCCGGCTTTTTGAGAAGGTTCCACACGCCGCCTAGCATGGTTACCATCTGGGTTAAATGGATGACACCACCTTCGGGCAGACTCAAGCTTAATACTGATGCGGCCTATGGGGCTGCTGGGGCTGCGGGAGGGGCATGTTTGCGAGACTCTCGTGGGCAGCTCATTGCGGGTCTCTGCTTTCGTCTTGAGGCCGCGTCTGCGTTAGAGGCCGAGGCGTTGTCCTTACAACGTGCTCTTTTCTGGTGCATGGCGTTGCTAGGAGTCCTTCATCGGTTGAAGTGGACTCTCTCGTCCTCGCAACTTTGTCGGGGACAGAGACGACCAGGATACCGTGGAGGATCTCTCATGCGGTGCGCTACATCCGTTCTTGTCTGCAGGCCTGGGGTTCCACGATTACGCATGTGTACCGGAGGCCAATCAAGTGGCTGACGCGCTTGCTTCGGAGGGCCTAAATTCGCCAGTTGCAAGGGTCTTTAATTCCGTTAATTCTTTGCCTGCTCAAGTCAAGCTGGCTTTTTTGTATATCCTTAGAGGCTTTGCCTCCCATCGGGCTATTCGCCGTTAATAAATTTTGTTCGTTCGTTTAAAAATAAATAGGTTATATTCAAATAGGTTTTTGGTACATTAAATACCACTCACACCTTCTAGCAAACTCTATAGAGAGGTTTTCAAAGAATAACGCACACTAAAGATAAGTAGTATATCATTTCTCAAAGTAGTTTTCTCAAAATAGGATAGGCACCAACGCAATAACACACACTTTACTCAATGTAATACTGGAGTTTTCATAAGTAGAAGGGTTCCAAAATAATACCATTTAACCATTTTCAAACAGTATAACCATCTTATAAGTCACTCACTCATTTCCAAAGTAATCACAAGTATGGAGGATTTATAAATAACATTTCTCAATACTTATCAATATAATAGTCATTTCAAAACATATTCTTTTCTCATCATAAGCATTTCCCAAAACATAATATAGATTTTCTCAAGTCATTATCAAAAGCATATATGTCAATAATCATAGATAGGGAAGAATTCAAATCATATTTCTCAAATCACTTTTCCAAGTATCACATATATATATACTCTCATATATATATATATATATATATATATATATATATATATATATATATATATATATAGGGAAGGGATCAGGTGCATTTGTTGCTTTCCGTGCGGATGTGCGGTGGATTAATGTGCGTGAGGTTTATACTTAATGTGCGTGAGATTTGTACTCAATGTGCGTGAGATTTGTACTTAATGTGCATCACTTTAATATGCGTGAGTTTTGAACTTAATGTGCCTGAGTATTCTATTTAATGTGCGTGAGATTTGTGCTTAATGTGCCTGAGTATTTCAGGATTACGAGCTCAGAAAGAAGCAGAACAGAAACTCACGCACATTAACGCCCAAGCTTCTTGTTACTTCTTCCTTCAATTTGGCCATGGATTCTGGGTTATCAGGTACCTTCACTGCAGTTGAATGTTTATATAAATAACGCATGTTTATACAAATAACGCACGCATAGTAAAATTTGCACAGCAACAAAGTGTGGATTTCTGTTGTATTATTCCCATAATTCTTAACCTCCATAGCTCGCCTCCACATCATCATCATCTGGGAGGGGGCAAATGGCTACTGGGGATGGGGAAGAAGCTGACATAATATTTTCTGCTGCATTTTACACATTCACGCACATTAAATACAAATCTCAGGCACATTAAACACAACACTCACGCACATTGTGTACAAATCTCACGCACATTAATCCATCGCACATCCCCACGGGAAGCAACAAATGCACGGGAACCTTTCACTATATATATATATATATATATATATATATATATATATATATATATATATATATATATATATATATATATAAAGAGAAAGGGACGAAAGATCTTAAATCAACTAAGCCCTAATGATACGGTAATCCACTCTACCGGCCACTCCACAAGTTTGTCCCTTCCATGGGATAAAGGACTAAAACCTTAAGTGTGCACACCCTCTAATGGGCTTCCCCCACCCTAAAAGAGTAGTAACTAGTCCTGGTAGCTCAGGATGCTTTCTACCGGGCTACCTCAAAATATATACTAGGTATCCAGAATGCTTTCTACCAGATACTGTAAACGCGAAAAACTTGAATTGTATATATTTAAAATTCAAAGTATCGGTTACAAGTAGTATCAAGTATATATCAAACGGGAAAGGGTACAATCTCTGTATAGGAGAAGCCCTCTGATTCTCTACTAGAAGTATGCCAATTAGAAGTGTGTCAAATCCGGAATATGCCGAATTGGAAGTGTGCCGAGTTCAGAGTATGCTAAACTTGAAGTAGTTCCTTGTCATAAGTATGCCG